CTATTAGTACTGTATTATAAGTAAATGATGAATATTAATAAACCAAATTTTATTAAATATTGAATTGAAGATTCAAAAAAATCTAATGCTTAACTTGTTAAAGAGATTCATTTTCATTGTTGCTTTGAAAATAATGCGATTAGATACTGTTAACCTTTTATTGTTGTTATTTTTATTGTTTTTTGTTTTTATTAACATGGATCACAAACTATCATTTTAATTTTATTATATAAGGGTATTTTCTTCTTGTCATATGATTTTGTGGTCCCATGGGACCGCGAAACAAACATCTGTAGATCTCTCACAAAATATTAGCGTTAGGCAACAATTGTTTACACCTGATCTTTCGATCTAATTGGATAAAAATCACGAGGAGAGCTATCAACTATGCTTTAACATTAAGCAATTCAATAATAATTAGAAATGAGAATATTACATATAATTAAGGGATAGAAGGATATAAAAATAGTAAATTTCACAGAAAAAATTATAATTTTTACTTATTTATTAGATAAACTGATGTATAATTAAAATTCCTTGAAAAAAATTTAAAACTTGTAGTTCTTTTACAAGTTATTCAATAGTATGTTTATATAATAGAATTCAGTTATAATTTTTTGTTGTCAAAAAGATAATAAGGTCATAAAAATCATATAATTCATATAGGTCTTTTAAAATTATCAGAAATATAGAAGTACAAACTATAAACTATTAATTATAAATAAACTAACCCTAACGTTGACTAAATGTTGAACTAAATGTTGACCTAAAAAACAACCAAAGAAAGACGAAAAAGCTGGCAAAAAAAATAACCAAAATTGAGTATTACATCACAGCCTGCTGTGTCTAATTTGCCTATTTTATGTTATAAGGCTCATTAATGATTCAAAATTTAATGATTCAGAATCTAAATTAACTAGCTTTCTGGAAGACTGTCCACCATTAATCAGTGTAAGAGGATTTTCTATATTTTCTATTGACAGCATTCCCATTAGCATAGAATCAACTAATTTTTCAGTTGACTTCTCACCATCTATCATTTTAGAAGGACTTTCTAATTTTTTGTTGTATATTTTATTGCAGAAGGATTTTTAAATTTTCCTGTTGACTTCTCTGCATACATAAAAGGATTTTCTGTTGACTGCCATTCATTAAAGACATAGCCTGTTAATGGAAATTTGATTTGATGAATCTAAGCTAAAAATATTGTATTCTGATGGCAAACTGAAAAGTTGCTCAAATCCTTGTGGATAATCAAATAATACTTCTTTGTTTTCTTCAGAATAAGTTTTTTGGTTATTATTTATTTCATTTGACTCTTGAAAATAAGTTTTCTGGGCATTATTTATTTCACTTGACTTTTCACTTGACTCTTCAGAATAAGTTTTTTCAGCATTATTTCTTTCACTTGGTTCTTCATAATAATTCTTTTTGATATTACATGTATTTTTTTCACTTAACTCTTTTGATATAAAGCTATCCAAAGGAAAATTAAATAATTTTTCCAACTTGTTTGTTAATGATTCTCTATTATTTTCAGTAGAACTGGATGATGAAATTTTCTCAGTATTTGAAATCTGATTCAATCTTTTCTTCTTAGAAGCATCTTTCATTTTTTCATTAAATGATCTTTTCTTATATGTATATTTACCTTTATTCTGTTTTTAGTAATCTAATTTGATTTTTTTAGCTTGTTGTTGATACTCTTCTCTGAGTTTTGGACTTAATTTACTCCACAAATATCCAAT